AGCCACTGGCTCGGAGATGGCTTTCCTAAGGCCACCATCGCCCAGTAGCCACTGGCTCGGAGATGGCTTTCCTCAGGCCGCGCGAGGTCATGAGCCGGATGCGACTGGAAGCCTGTTTTGTCCACGTGACTGAGGCAATTCCCACTACAGAGGCCCAGGGCTCTCTGCCCACCCACGAGCTGAGGCCAAGACGCTGGGGCCGCCCACAGGTGGCAGGGCTGGTTCTCAGCTGGCTGCCAGTGCGGGCAGAAGCAGGCTCGACCCCAAAGGCTCCGGCAGGGAGCCCTCCCAGCAATGGGGGTGGGGGCTGCCCCTCACCTTTCTGGTCCAGGACAGCCGCCCTCAACACAACGACCAGCTCCTCGCGACTGAGGTGCTCTGGCCGAAGCTGCCCCGGGAAGGGCTGGCACCCCAGGGGCCCCGGCCGTTTGCTGAAGCCGCGAACTGGCAGCTGGAGTCTGGAAAAGGAGGGGTGACCACGGAGTCAGCCCTTCCCGAAACCCGAAACCCGCGCTGTTCCCTCCCCTCCCAACGCCGGCGGCGTCCGTACAAGGGCCGCGCGCTGCGCTGCCCGAGACCCAGTCCCACTGGCCCCGCTTGGCAAGGCGGGAGCGGGCGCTCAGGGGGGCGGCGGGGCTAGCTGGGGGCCCCACGGCGGAGCCACGCGTCCACCTAACGCCAGCACAGGCACACGCCCGCCGGCCCCCGTCTCCCTCCCACACGGAGGAGGGCGTAGTCACCCAGCGTCGCCGCCCCGGCCCGCGCAGACCCCACGCGGGGGCCACCACGCAGCGCACACGCGGGGGAACGCGCGGCGGCCCCCCATGGCTCCGGGGAGGGCCGCGTCACGCGCCGCGCGGGAAGCCCCGCCCCGGCCCCCACAGCGCGCTTATTGGTCAGACGGAGTGTCAATCCGATTAGCGAGCGCTGGGGCGGGCTCAGGGCCGGCGGGGCGGGGCTTGTCCTCGCGCGGAGGAAGTGCCTGGGAACGGGGTGATGTTTACGGGACCAGAGGCCGCGGTTTCTGGCTTAACCTTCATAAATCACCGCCGGGCACAGTTTTGCAAGGAAAGTTGGGGGAAAACATACGCACACGCGTTGTTCCCGTGAACCTGCTTGAAGAACAGTTTGGTGCTTAATGCAAAAGGAGAGAAAAGCCAGAGGCTGGCAGGATTTCCCCAGGGCATGGCTTGCAAAAACAAACCACATTTCAGCGTTGGAAACAAGTTGTCCTGTGATTAGAGCTACTAGGAAACTGAAATAATGCTCCTCCTCTCTCCACCAGGCAGCCTCTGGGGTCTGCTAACCAGAAACGCAGGTCAACAGCCCTATGCAGGAGTCCCCCGAGTTGACAGTTGGAGTCACAGCACCCCGACCTTCCTCGCTGACAGAAATGGGGAGCTGGGTGAAATCAGAATCTTGATTTTTAAAATGCATCCTTTTAGCGCGGCTGTAGTGTGATGCATTGAGTTTAACCCTCGTAATATAGTAACCAAATCGAACTGTTCAAACTTATTCACAACTGTAGGAAATACTTGATTAGTTTAGATATGACCAAGGTGATACTACATAATTATAAGCAGTAATATACTAGAAAACAGAGAATGAAGAAATGAATGATTTTTCATCAGTGCTGTGCATTATTTTGCTGTTAGGACCCTGAGAGAAGCATCTTCCTTGAGTTTCAAGTGTTCTGATAAATGTAGTTAGCTGTTCCTTAGCTTGAATAAATAGCACCTTGAATTGCTGAAATGTAAGTGACTCCAAAGAATCAAAGTTCTTTTCTGTTCTGAAGTAGCAAGCGATGGCCACAGTGAGGGTTTCTTAGTGCAAGTAATTTTTTTTATAACAGTTTATTTT